ATGATGGATGTGGACAACAGGGGTGGAGGGTGAGGGCAGGATTGGGAAGGATGAGGGGGACATTGGAGGGATAAGGACATATTTGAAATATCAATAAAGGGAAATAAAATAAAATAAAATGAAAAAGTTTTTAAAAAAGCATAAAAGGTGGAATTAAAACTAAAAGCAAACTTAAACAGATGAAACTAACAAAGGAAAAGGCAAAGAACTAATCCAACTCATGAATACAGACTTTAACATACATTATACTCAGTCTTGGACAAGAGTTGAGGAGGAATTGCAAAAAAAAAAAAAAAAAAAATAATAAAAAAAAAAAAAAAAGAATAGGGGTGAGAGCCCTAGCCAGTTTGGCTCAGTGGATAGAGTGTCAGCCTGTGGACTGAAGGGTCCCGAGTTCAATTCCGGTCAAGGTCACAGGACCAGGTTGTTGGCTCGATCCCCAGTAGGCGGCGTGCAAGAGGCAGCCGAACAGTTGTTCTCTCTCATCATTGATGTTTCTATCTCTCTCTCCCTCTCCCTTCCTCGCCGAAATCAATTTAAAAAAAATTGTAATTAAGTGTCTTCGAGTCAGCAGTCTTGCAGACAGCTTAATGGGTCCCACCTTGCTGGCCGTCTCCATGGCAGCGTGACCAAGTCCAGCTCCATGGCCTCCAGTTCTGAAGGTTCTTTTTGACGGCCTGTGCCAGGTCATGAACCTTGGGCTGTTCTTGTAAGGTCCTTCTTCCATTGTTGTTTTTAATATTTTCTTCCCTGAATATTAGATGCCGAATTGCTCTGTGCCTGTGCCCACTGTTCACCTCTGCTTTCTTTCATTAAGACTCTCATCATTTAAGTTCTGAATAGTTGTAGAAGGTGCAACTACTCCGACCATAGAAGCTGCAGGGAGAGTAACATGGGGTTTTTTTTTTCACGTGGTGGACATGGCAACATGGTCTCAGAAGAGGCCTGGCCATGATGATCGGTGACTATTGGAGGGCATGACCTAAGGGCTGTCTTCACATCAGACCAGGAACCTGCACTGTGTCATGTCGTGTTTTGGTGCCACTGGCTGCACCTCAGGTCTACCTGTTCATTTTCACGTTTGACACTTTGCTGACTTGTCTAGAATTTTTCTAGAATTTTATCTAGAGCTTCTCGGTTTCTGCCAACCTACCCCTTTGTGGCCTCCGTGTGTCACCTGTTTTTTCTGTGCTGCTCCTTCAGCAGTAACTGCTCCCCCCGACAATAACCTGCGCCTGAGTTACGATGTGTGTGTGCGCATCCTTGAGTGGTATTTGAGCCCCAGCTGCACACGTACTGAATTTGACTGGGAAAAGGCTATGACCAACCTCATGTCAGCAGCACACAAGCCCTTCTGAACGCGGTTAGCAGCACCAAGGTTTGGAGATCCTGCTTCTGTTCCACATGCTTGCATGCAACCCCTGTGTCCTTTTCCCAGGGAAGTCTCCCCTGCTTTGTGATCTTCTGAGGCCCAGGACTGCACAGCACCTTATTCAACCAGCCTCCAGGTCTTGTGTTTTCAGACAATCCCATTTACCAGTGTATTGAAAGTGACACGTTTTTGTAATGGGACTTCCCCCTCCCAGTAAAGTCAACATTCATTTCCTCATCGTTGCTCTGTTTTCAGGTTGTTGCCATAAAACAGATGACGAGGAGGCCTGTTCTGAGCAGAGTGTGTCTGTAGGAGAGTCACAGGTCAGGGCGTCTGAGACAGCTCCAGCCACTGAGAAAACACATTCCTGTGAGTGTTGTGTCTTGGTCTTGAAAGATATTCTGCACCTGACTGAGGGCCAACCAGCCTACCTTGAGCAGCGAGCCTTCTTCAGTGACACATACGTGAGAGGCTTCTGTCTCCCTGCACACGTTCACCAGCAGCAGAGGGAAGCCCGGGGAGAGAAGGCCGGGAAAGGGCTCAGGGCCTCGTTTAGGACCTGGTCCACCTCCGTATCCATGGCGCCTTTCCCCTATAGGGAGGTCGGGGAGGACCTTCCAGCCATTTCAGGTGGTTGCCAGCATCCAGCT